TATGGCCGGCCATTTAGGGATGTTTGGGCTTTTGGGCTTTAATGAATCTTTATTCATTAAATTGTCATACAACTTAAGTTAATGGGCTTGACGTTCGAAGCCCATTGGGCTTTAAGGTCCAAAACTATCCCGAAGTCTTTAACGAATTTATTCGTTTGATTAATTAACATATTAATTAATCCTTGCCATAAATAAATGATTAAACCATTTAATCATTCTTACTCATTTCCGTTTAATCTCCAATCTCTACCTTTTACGGTGTGCGATCCATTAGGTTCCTTTTAGCGAGGTAGTGGGCGATTAAAAACCATTTTACATCGATTGTGAATTGAAACTATTTTCAATTCTCCCTTTAGTGATTACACACGTTTAGGGCTTCCACAAACCATGAGTGACACCTAGCAGCATATCATGGTTACCCAAGCTAATCAGAAGAGGTGGAGAACCTATTCAGTTCGGGATTACAAATGCAATACGGTCCTTCTCTAATCTAATACTCTTGACCACATTGTTTGGTATGATAGTTTATTTACTCATGTCTACTATCCAATGTGAATCGTTTGCTTATATGATTTCCTTGAATGTGATTTGGAACGCATTCCCCAATCTCATTCATACTCTGGCCAGAGATTCCAAATCATATCATAGAGTATTCTCCCTCAATTGTTTGAAGGTTAGAGATCCCTTGTTGCGCATTCACTTCTCTCCATAGCTAAGTGGCTTAACCCCAACGATGCCGTGACACCCCGAGGGGGTGAATTAGACATAATCAAAGATTAAGGACTTAACCACAAGACAACTGTGATGCCTCAGGTCAAAGGACTACTTTGCATTATCCCAACCATGAGTTCTCATGTGACATGGAATATAAGAACTCTTCGTTGATCACGTTCAGTGAACTCATTCTCTTATTGAGCACCTACGTACTTGTCTTGATGTCACACACACACCAATGACTCGAGACTAGTCACTCTCCCTGAGAGAAGACACAGTACGTACTGATCTTAACGGACTGTCAATGCCCAATTGGTAATCCTATGATCAGGAACATTTAGGAAGTGTCTACGAAAGAATGGTCTCATTAATCTAACTTCATTAGATTGCATTCTCCCAATCACATATTCCTTGGACTTTATCGTTTAAGCATATAACATTTATATGAGACGACTCAAACAATAATCTTTGCCCTTTATATGTTAAACTAGATTAGTTTAACATTTGAAATGTCCGTAAAGTATCATCATATGATTGGTTTTAGGGCACATTTCCAACACTTGATTCTATCATTTCAAATTTCTGGTGGGGCCATAAAGGAAACAAAAGGCGAATTCATTGGGTTTCTAAGAATATTATGGGTTTACCGAAGGCTGAGGGAGGTTTGGGATTTCGTAGCTTCAGAGATTTCAACGATGCCCTGCTCGCAAAACAATGTTGGAGGTTGCTTCATGATAAACACTCTCTTTGGGCTCGGGTTATGAAAGCTCGCTATTTCCCTCATTGTTCCTTCCTTGATGCTAAGCGTGGTGGGCGTGCTTCCTGGGCGTGGTCAAGCCTTCTTTCAGGACGGGATCTTCTTTTGAATGAGTCCCATTGGCAAATTTTCAATGGTAAAGAGGTTCGGGTTTGGCTTGACAGGTGGCTCCCCACTCTCCCAGTTGGGCACCCTCTTCCTCGAGGTGATGTTCAGGTTAGTAGGAATACTCCTGTGTCAAGGTTACTGAGTCCTGAAAATGATGGATGGGATATCGACTTCCTTAAACCTTTCATCTCGGCATTTGAGTTTGTCGCCATTCAGGAGACTCAAATTGGGGTCCCTTGTTTGGATGACAGGTTGGTTTGGCCTTTTGATCGTTGTGGGCTTTATACGGTTAAATCGGGATACCACTGTGTGCATGCTAAGCGTGAGCAAAGGGTCAATTTTGGCTCCTCCTCCTCCGTGACTGTTCCTGGTAAGTTATGGAAAGCCATCTGGAATCTTAATACCCCGCCGAAGCTTCGTGTTTTCTTGTGGAAGACGGTTCATAACGCGCTGGCAACGTTGGCGGGCCTTTTTAGGAGGTTGGTGGCGCCATCTCCTCTGTGTCCTATTTGCCAAATCCACGAGGAGACCATTGAACATCTATTTCTGCTCTGCCCGTGGGTTGAGGTGATTTGGTTCGGTGGGATGTTGAGTCACAGAATTATTCGTAGTTCTATTTCTTCTTGGGTGAATTGGCTTGTCAACATCACTAATACCACTTTGAATTCGAAGGCTGAGATGGTTCGGGTGTTATCTTATGTGGCTTTTACGTGTTGGCACATTTGGAAGAGTAGATGCAATTTCCTTTTTCAAAATGGATCTATTAACCCCAGGAATGTGCTTGCTGCCATTGACACCTCTGTTAGTGCGTTCAGTGAAGCTTCCAGAAACAAGGTGATTAGACCTTCCATGCCCAACCCAGCTGCTCAAGTGCCAGCCCGGTGGTGTCTCCCACCTCCTCCGTTCGTTAAGATCAATGTCGATGCAAGTTGGGAGCAGGGTACAAACTCGGGCTTCTCGGGGGTTGTGGTTCGGGACTCGGCCGGAACCTTTATCGCGGCTAGGAGAGGTTGCTTTGCTGCGCATTCTGCGGCAGTGGCTGAGGCCATTGCGATCCGCCACGGCTGTGAGTTGGGTGTAGCTATGGGATTTAATTTGATTGTGATCGAATCTGATTCCCAGGATTCTATTTCTTACCTTATGGGTAAGACTTCAAATGGCAGGTGGGAGGCTTTTCCGGTGTTGACGAAATGTAAGCTGATTGGAAACTCCTTTCAAGACTGTCGCTGGTCTTGGATTCCAAGATCAGCCAATTTGGCGGCGGATTGTTTGGCGTCGCGTAGAAATAGGGAGATGTGTGATTTTACTTGGGTCAATAGGCCTCCATCTTCTTTGGTTCATGTTTTATGTAATGATGGACTCCCTTGTCCTCCTTGAGTTTGCTTGGTAATGGGAGGGGGGACGCGGGTTGTTGTTTGATGCGTCTGGGTATTTCATCCCCTTGCATTACCAGGTTGTCTCTGCTGTTTGCCTCTGGGTAGGCTTCTGTTGTTCTTGTGGCTTCTGTGCCCTGGTTTAATCGATTCCATTTTATCCAAAAAAAAAACTACATTAATTCTTGAATGTCAGATATGCAATAAGCGTGGTCACACTGCACCAAATTGCTACTCATGTTGCTCTTATTGCTCAATCTAGCTTTGCTTCTTCTTTTTCATAACCAAATTGGGTGCTGGACACTGGTGCCAACACCATATGACTACTGATCTGGATAACTTGACTTTGGTTACTCCTTTTGATAGCAATGAAAGAATAACAGTGGGCAATGGTGAAAGGCTTCCTATTGTTAACACTGGTTTGGGTTTAATTCCAACTTCATCTAAACTTTTAACATTGCAAATGGTCTTACATGTTCCTAGTTTGGCTGCTAGTGTGACGTCCCACATCGCCCAGGGGAGTGGAACTTGTAAGTTTTATATGTATATTCTCATCTTTACCTAGAACGAGGCATTTTGAGAGCTCACTGGCTTCGGGTTCTGTAGGAACTCCGAAGTTAAGTGAGTTCGTGCGAGAGCAATCCTAGGATGGGTGACCCATTGAGAAGTTCTCGTGTGAGTTCCCAGAAACAAAACCGTGAGGGTGTGGTCGGGGCCCAAAAAGAACAATATCGTGCTACGGTAGAGTTGAGCCTGGGTTGTGGTAGGGGCCCGGGTCGGGATGTGACAATTTGGTATCAGAGCCAATCCCTGGCCGGATGTGTGCCGACGAGAACGCCAGGCCCCTAAGGGAGGTGGATTGTGACATCTCACATTGCCCAGGGGAGTGGATCTTGTAAGCTTTATATGTATATTCCCATCTCTACCTAGCACGAAACCTTTTGGGAGCTCACTGGCTTCGGGTTCCGTAGGAATTTCGAAGTTAAGCGAGTTCGCGCGAGAGCAATCCCAAGATGGGTGACCCACTGGGAAATTCTCGTGTAAGTTCCCAGAAAAAAAACCGTGAGGGTGTGGTTAGGGCCCAAAGCGAACAATATCGTGCTACGGCAGAGTCGAGCTCGGGTTGTGGTGGGGGCCCGGGTCGGGATGTGACAGCTAGTTTACTATCTGTGTATCAGCTATGTAAAAATAACAATTGTTATGTTATTCTTGATGAGTTTGGTTTTTGAAAGCAGGATAAGGCAACAAAGAAAATCATCCTAAGAGGAATGAGTAGTAATACTGGCTTGTATTACATTCCTCAGCAACAATTCTTCAAGTATTCTAAGCTTTTGGGTACTACACCTTAAGAACTTTTGGGGTAACTTGTGAAAACTTCTATATGGCATCATAGGCTTGGCCATCCAACAAATGAAGTTCAAAATAAAATGCTTAAGGATTCTGCAATTTCTGTGAGTGTTAACGTTCATCCTTAGATATGTTCAAGCATGTATAAAGGGGAAAATGTCTAGATTACCATTTTCTTCTAGTAGTAATTGTAATATCCCACATCGCTCATGGAAGTGGATCTTGTAAGCCTTATATGTATATTTTCATCTCTACCTAGCACGAGGCCTTTTGGGAGCTCATTAGCTTCGGGTTCCATCAGAACTTTGAAGTTAAGCCAGTTTGCGCGAGAGCAATCCCATGATGGGTGACCCACTAGGAAGTTCTCGTGTGAGTTCCCAGAAACAAAATCGTAAGGGCATGGTCGGGGCCCAAAGTGGACAATATCGTGCTACGATGGAGTCGAGCTCGGGGTGTGGTAGGGGCTCGGGCTGGGATGTGACAATTTGGTATCAAAGCCAATTCCTGGCCAGAAGTGTGCAAACGAGAACGTTGGGCCCCTAAGGGGGTGGATTGTAACATCGCACATCGCCTAGGGAAGTGGATCTTGTAAGCCTTATATGTATATTCCTATTTCTACCTAGCACGAGACCTTTTGGGAACTCACTAGCTTCGGGTTCCATCGGAACTCCGAAGTTAAGCGAGTTTATGCGAAAGCAATCCCATGATGGGTGACCCACTGGGAAGTTCTCGTGTGAGTTCCCAAAAACAAAACCGTAAGGGCGTGATCGGGGTCCAAATCGGACAATATCGTGCTACGATGAAGTCGAGCCTGGGATGTGGTAGGAGCCCGGGGCGGAATGTGACAGTAATAAGTCAAGTATTCCATTTGAAAGAGTATATACTGATGTATAGGGGCATTCACCCACGTTGTCTGTTGAAGGTTACAAGTACTATGTAATCTTTGTTGATGAATGCACAAGGTTTTTTTGGATTTTCCCTTTTGTGAATGAATGTAATGTGTATCAAGTGTTTCTTAAATTTCATGCTCTTTTTGTGAATCAATTTAAAACCACTATTAAGTTTTTACAGTCTGATGGGGGATGAGAATATATGAGTGGTTTATTTCAAAAGTTTCTACAATCACATGGCATTTTTACATTTTCTATCATGTCCATATACACCAACAAAATGGGTTAGCAAAACGAAAGAATAAGCATGTCATAAAGACTGTTGTCACCTTATTAAGTGCTACTTCTTTACCTCATCAGTTTTGTTTTCATGCTTGTAGTCATGTTGTCTTCCTTATAAATAGAATGCCCTGTCATAATTTGCAGATGTCTTCTCCTTATGCCAAATTGTTTGGTCAATCTCCATCTTTAGCAAACCTTAAGGTTTTTGGTACAACAATTTATCCTTATTTGAGACCTTATAGTGCTAATAAGTTGCAAGCAATGAGTGATCAATGTGTTTTCTTGGGATATTCAATTGGTTATAAAGGTGTTTTGTGCTATAATAGAGTTACAAAGAGGTTATTGTTGTCTAGGCATGTAGTACATGATGAAGGTGTTTTTCCTTTCAAAGTATCTTATGAGAATAATCTTAGTTCTTCACTGCATAATTCCACTTCTCAGAGAAAGTCATCTCCAATAGTGCCTATTATTTTACCTGGAACTTCACATGTGTCTAAAGAACAACTACAGGGTAATAATGTGGATAGTTACAGTATGGAAGTACCATCCTTGTCTTCTCAAAGTTCAAATGCATCTACCAGTTCAGAAAATGTTCCTTTATAAGCTACTACTCACTTACTACTCTACTATCAAGCTCTATATCCTCTCAGATATTGCCTATCCATGCAAGCCCTCCAACTTAGGTATCTTTTCCATCTGAAGATCTCTCTCATACTCTTGATGTGTCTAGGGATGTATCAGTGCATTTAGAGAATGATTCTATGTTACATAATCTAGTCATTTCAAGTACTAGGTCAATTGTTTCTTCTGGACATAATATGGTTACAAGGTTAAAAAGTGGAGCAATTCAAAGACAAGATTATGTAGCTTATCATGCTCATATTTCTGATACTCAAATTAAATTTCAGTTTCATGTTGATGATGTTGTTTTTAGTGGTTTTACTGTTGTATTTGATATTCATGAACACTATGAGCCTTCACACTATAAACAAGCTATTATGTCTGAAATTTGGAGAAATGCTATGACAAAGGAGTTTACTGCATTACAAAAACAAGGTACTTGGGAATTAGTACCTCCTCCAGAAAATAGGAATGTGATTGGGAGTAAATGAGTCTATAAGATAAAAAAGGACCAAGAAGGAAAAGTGTCTAATGCAAAGCTAGACTAATTGCCCAAGGCTACAGTCAAGAACAAGGCTTAGACTATGAAGAAACCTTCAGTCCAGTAGTTAAACATATAACTGTCAGACTTGTTATGTCACTTGTTGCAATGTACAAATGGGAATTAAGGCAATTGGACATAAAAAATGCATTTTTACATGGAGAATTACAAGAAGATGTCTTTATGAAACAACCCCAAGGTTTTCAAGATTCTAGGTATCCTCATCATATATGTAAACTTCTCAAATCTTTGTATGGACTGAAGCAGGCTCCAAGAGCATGGAATAAGTTTACTAGCTATCTTCCAACTTTGGAATTTCAACCTTCATAGTCAGATCCAAGTTTATTCGTCAAAGTCATTGGCAGTGATGTGGTCATTCTCTTACTTTATGTTGATGATATCATCATCACTGGCTCTTGTTTCAAGTTAGTCCAGACAATCATTGATGATTTGGTTAGTGTGTTTGACATGAAAGATATGAGAAAGTTGACTTATTTCCTTGGTTTTCAAGTTACTTATAGAGAGAATGGGGATATATTTCTCAATCAGTCAAAGTATGTAACTGATCTTCTTAACAAGGCATGAATGGTGAATTGCAGACCTTGTTCCACTCCCAGTAAACCACATACTCAAGTATTGAAAGATGAAGGAGATCCTCTTAATGATCTAACTATGTATAGGAGTTTGGTGGGAGCATTGCAATATTTGACCTTTACTAGGCCAGATATTGCAAATGTTGTTAACTATGCATGCCAATTTGTGACAACTCCTACTGAAGCTCATTTTTGTTTGGTGAAGAGAATTCTAAGGTACTTAAAGGGTACACTAACTTGTGGACTTACTTATTCTGGTGCTGAGAATCTTGAACTATATGCATATAGTGATGCTGATTGGGTGATTGATATTAATACTAGGAGATCTACAACTGGATATATCGTTTTTCTGGGTTCTAATCCTATCTCATGGCAATCAAATAAGCAGGGAAGTGTTTCTCGCAGTTCAATAGAGGCTGAATATAAAACTTTAGCAAATGCAGCAGCTGATATTGCCTGGATACGATTGGTCTTAAGAGATCTTCATGTGTTTCTTCCTTCTGCACCATTGCTGCATTGTGATAATCTTTCCACATTAGTTTTGTGTTCTAATCCGGTCTTTCATACCATGATTAAACACTTAGACATGGATTTTCATTTTCTTAAGGAAAGAGTACAAAAGGAGATTTGAAAGTTCATTATATTCCCACAGAAGCTCTGGTTGCTGATGTATTGACTAAGGGGCTTCACATTCCTTTATAGTTGCTGATGTATTGACTAAGCTGGTGTATAGCTATATATATAGTTGCTCAACTACTTGTAAAGATAAGATTTTGCAGATCAGAAAAATACAAGCGTGCATGACAAGCTTTTCACTCTTATCTCTCTCTCTCTCTCTCTCTCTCTCTCTCTCTCTCTCTCTCTCTCTCTCTCTCTCTCTCTCTCCCCTTTTGTGCTTGTTCTTCAGCTTCATAATTCTCAATCTTCATGGAAATCATGATTTCTCTTTAGTTATCAGGTTCCAACTTCATAGACAGAAATTGTATTAATTATGTTTCATTAGATGTTAGTCGCATATAACATGACAGATACATTCATTTGTTCCTTGTAAATTATAGAGTTGATTCTCAATTCTTGATTCTTGAAGATGCTCTAATGGTATGACCTAAAAGCTACCTGACATTTCCATTGGAAGGGTTAACATTGAATTATCAATTTTATTTTTGTGGGGAGGGGGGGATATAATAATATATTTATTAAAAAACGTGAAAAATTTAGAATAACCACTTGTTTGGAACTACTTTTAAAATAGCTACTTTTAGTGAAAGTGTTTTTATACTTGAAGTGCTTCCTGCAAGATTACCAGTTATGTGAAGTGCTTTTTCAAAATTCATTTGCATTTTTACTAAGAATTAGTTCAAAAAACACTCTTATCAAAAACGTTTTCAGTCATTTTAAAAACATTCCAAACGAGCCCAATACTTCAAATTATTGTTGTTTAAACCACATTGAATTATCAATTATTCGGTGCCTGTTAGCTGCACACATCAAGTAAGCTTGATGCTGTTGGGCATCTAAATTGCTTTCTTCTCCTTATCCAGCAGGTAGAAATGCATTTTCAGATTTTTGTAGGTCAAGCCTTTTTATTATTTTATCTCATATTGTTCCTTTTATTTGAATGAAAAGTATTTCTATGTCAGTATAGAAAATTAAAACAAAGAGAAAAAACGAATATATATGTGTGTGTGTATATATATATATATATATCAAATTATAAAAGAATATAAGCACATGACATGTTACTGGAAAGCCAAGCAAAGCAGCTGTTTGGTTGTCCTGTATTTTTCCTCAAGATTTTCGTCACTCTCCAAAAATTTTGAGTGAAGACTTTACAAGGAGGAGGTTTTGAATCCGAATAGATGATGAAACACTCTGTCCATTCAAATATTGGACTATATGTAGACTTTACACCAATTTATTACTAAAGAAATTAACACAAATTGGCAATATTTTAATCGTAATGAATAAAACCTCCATTAGGGTTTCCTTTGTGTTTCTCGTCAACCAAGGCTTAGCTAACTGTCGTTCGTCCAAAACAGGAAAATAAAACCCTACGCTGACCAAACACAGCAAACTCCAGCGTTCTTTCTCGCCCACTCCCAAAACCCCCTTGGGATTGTAAGACGTGCAAAAAGCCAAACGGACAAAACCTCCTTAGATACATCATTTTACCAAAATATATGTCATCTTTGAAATCATTTATTTCTTTTATCATCATCTAAATGATTATCGTAGATAAGTAAGAAGTTTTATTATGTTCGAATTTTATGAATGACAAGTTTGCAACAAATTTAAACAAAATAAAAAGTTTCAATTTATACAATAAAATGATGTTACGTTAAAAATGAATGAGGACTGTGTTTTGTGGGAATAATGAAAGTATTACTCAAGCCAAAATGCATATTAAGGTTTTTCTTCTTTGGTTAGGTCAAAAAAGTATAATCCTAGTCTAGTTGACGTGAGTCTTGGATCGTTGCTCCAAACCCTAGATTCCGTACTCTATGGTCTAGATTAACGTTTAAATCAAGTCAATGCACAACTCCCGAAAACCAATTATTACGCACTGTTGCTATTTCTAAATAATTAACGTTCTTTTTTTAAGATTAAACGTTATTTTCACAAATTAACAATGATTAACATTCGTAATGACTGGGGTGTTGATGTGTCAGCTGCTGCATGCTCCACATATGGCAGATTATGAGTCACAGTGAAAAACGCAGGAATGAAAGAGACTAAAGTCCAACACAGAGAGAGAAGACTCAGCTATTTTATTTATTTTTTAATTCGGAATTTGGTCGACATAATGTATAGTAGTAGCACATTGACTCATAGATTAGGGTTTTTTGGATGGATTTTGATTCATATCCTAGTTCACAGTTGACCCGTCGTCCTGGAATCGTTCCAACCTGTAACAAACACTACTTGTTTAAGGATTAAGACCAAAAAATTGCCCCCCAAAAAAAAAAGGATTTAGACCAAAAAATGATTGGTTGAATTGTCCACCCATCTTAGGTCATCTCCAATCGAAAGGTCTAGAGGGCCAGAGAGTCGAAAATAACTCAAAAACTATCTCCAACCGAGGGTTAGGCCAAAAGGCTCTGGAACCTAGGAGGGCATCATGGAATCGGAGAGGGCTGGAGGCTGGCCATTTTTTTTTAATGTTTTGTTATTTCTATCGGTTATAGCCGACATAAATAATATACACTATATTATTAGTGTCGGTTATAACCAACACTAATAGCAATGTTAATATAATATCAGTTTGAACAGTGTCGGTTAAAACCGACACTAATTTGAATTTGAATTCTAACGGCTAGCCAGTCACTAGCCGTTGTAATCAATTTTTTTTTTTTATGAATTTAAACCCTTTTTTTTATAACTTTCTATAACTTATTTTTCTATAACTTATATTTTACAAAATTTGGTTCATATTTTTTTTCGTATAACTTCTATTTTACAAAATTTGTTTCATATTTTTTTTAAATTCCATTTTTTTCTTATAACTTATATTTCACAAAATTTGTTTCATATTTTTTTTGTAAATTTCATTTTTTCCTATAACTTCTATTTCACAAAATTTGTTTCATATTTTTTTTTAAATTCCATTTTTTTCCTATAACTTCTAGTTGTTGGATTTGAATTTAAGTTGTAATTTTTAAATAATAAATTATGTTTGGCCCTCAGTTGGAAACGGTTTTTTGTGACAGGGCTAAAATGAGCCATTTGGCCCTCTGGCCCTCGGTTGGAGACGGAGGCAAATATGACAATGTACTGTTCATTAAAATATTAATATCTTGGAGAATCTTGGAGGGCCAGAGGGCTAAAACGAGCCCTCTAGCCAGCCATCGGTTGGAGATGGCCTTAGTTGTCCTTAGCATGAAAACTATTTAATAAGGATTTTGAAAGTAAAGATCAAAGTACGTAGAAATGTTGTTTGCCAAAGAAAGTAACTTGCTTGCTAAGTTGGATTTTGGAGAATGAGATGTTTAAATTAAAAGGATTAACGAAAAAAACTTAAAAACTTTGGGTTTTAACGATAAGGATAAAATAAAGGGTAGTAAATAGTACCAGGATTGACTTTTTAGTATAAAAATGTGTTTTTCGTTAAAATGAGCAGTACCGGAAGTTTTTCGTTAAAATTTCCTAAATTAAATGGCTTCATGAATATATTCAATGTGACGTTTTTGTACCCGACAGTTTTGAGTAACAAAATTGCAACATGTTTTGAGATTATAAAGTAGAAACAGAGAACGAAGATGCATTTTACTTTTAAACTATTATAAAAGAAATTATAAAATAATGAACTAAACCATTGAAAAAACAATATTAGAAGGAGGGAGAGAGGAATAACTTGGCAAGGACTTTGGTAACCCCTTCCACCAGAGTCAGGAGAGATTTTTTAATATGATCGGAACACGGTTTACATTACGTATCAGTATACAAATGATGCGATATGTGTGTTAAAAAATTACTAACTTAAAAAATATAATTTTTCATCACTTATATAAAAACACATGATATACTATCCATCTTCCGATCAGAATGAAAATTTTCTCCATAGTCACCACCTTTCACGCATATTCATAACCATAAACCCTAAAAAACTGAAAGAAAAGATAGAGGAGTTCAGGATTATTGGGAAACATAATAATAATAAAGACGACTTGATAGCTTTCAAAAAAGAAAAATAAATAAAGACGACTTGATTAGTTAAGAGTAATTAAATTATTAGTAAATAATGCATAGTTGATCAAGATATTTTAATTTTATAGTGTAACACAATGAATGTACAGTACAATGATTATATAACCGATGTGCTGCTCTGGCATCAAATGGCCTCTAATATTCTAGTCACCTACCATCTAATCCAATGTAACCCCTCCATTGGAAACCTAACCAATCCAACGAAAGGTAACCCTCGCGGTGGGACCCACGAGTTCCCTAAACACTTCAGAATTTTCAACCGTTAAATTTCGTTTATTACATATTATTATAGATTTAACGGTTAAAAATACTCAGGTATAAAATATCTCGGTAATATAAAGTATCAAGTTACATATTTATAGCGTAATGTACAGTTGAATTTCACTAATCTGTTGGATCCAAGGCCCATAAAGGGCCCAAAAAGGTCTCCGACCGAGAAATGTGCGGCACTAAACAAGATATTAATCCCAAGGACAGCGAGCCACGTGTCCCTAACGAGACCTGGCTGGCTGGAAGTAGCAACGCACCAATTGTCAGCAAAATCTAAAAGGGACGACACATCGTCATGGCGTTATTGTCATAGAGAGAGCCTCACAGCACCGCGTGGCCCCCCACCCATTGAAACAAGGAGGTGGATTGTCTACCCCCCATTTTCATAATCTTCCTATCTCTTTTTGTTTTATGTGGTCACGGTTAAGCTACGTCAACATTTTATATTCCTATTACTTTTTGTTTATTATTTTTATAAAAAAAATCAATATAAAATGTTGATGTGGCTTAACCGTGACCACACAAACATGATGAGATATGAAGAGTATGGAAATGGAAGGGCAAACAATCCACCTCCTTGAAACAAACCGACTTTCCACCCTGCACGATAAGTTTTTCAACGTGTCAAAACACTCATGTCATTATATAATTGGAAAACATTGAAACAAAATGCATTTTTTCAATTGTATAGAAATATGTGATGTTTTGCCTTATGTTTCGGATACTGAAAAAAAATTCCGACGTGAACCCAGCCGTACCGTTTCCTTCCCACGTTCCCCCACGCCTCCTCCGCACAATGACATCAACACCCCTCACCTCCCCCCGTCACTTCCCGGATTAATTAAGG